GAAGAAGCGCGGCGATGTGTTTTCTCGAATGAAAAAAGAATATTTCAGCCCGAAGCACTTAGCGAATGATTTTTAAATTGAATCACGTCTCTCACGCCTGCGTTCCGCTGGCGGGCACTGCGGAGTACTCGAACTCCGCTAGAAGAACGTGTTGACAAGCGCGAGGGCGCGAGGGCGGTGCGGAACGACGCGGCGCGCAATGCTCCTTGCTAGCGCGATGTCTTCTTGGCTGACAAGAAGCAGCATCCGGCTTGTCGTCGTTATGATCCAGCTGTAACGCTCGACTGTTTGATGAAAATGACACGCTACGCGGATGAAATTATATATCTCACATATATATAATGTTGCAAAGTACTTTACGAATAACATAACTTTATACGAACACAATGAGTATTTTTATACATAAAAGAAGATTAAATTTATTTATTAAATGTACAGCTATTTTAAGTGCGGAAAGATAAAGGAAAAACTTGCTAAAATTAGAAATATTAAAAGGATAATTTATTAATATTTCACAATTTTATTCTGCATTCCGCCACATATATCTTAATTTTATTATAAGCCGTGGATTTTATTATTTTCAAGATATATATAGATATATTTCTATTTTCTCGCTCGGTGAGAAATTTTGTGTCATGTGGACTTGGCGCTAGTGCGAGATAATTTCATGTAGAGTCTTTGACACGAAGTTTCCAGGTGCTTTTAGCACTCACGGCAGTGCTCTTGTACTTCCGGCCTGCGCAATGGCTTAGGGTAGCGTTCTATGATAATTAAGAGGTTGTCTACAAGCTCGGAGGACCCGACAGCTTGCGGGATAAGTGGTCCTAATACATTTATCTATAAGGTGTCCTAAGTTCTTGTATGGTGCTATATGTTATGATGGTGTGTTAAGAAGGGTTTGTTGTTGAAGAAGCTTCGTAAATCAGCATGCCGAGTCTCATTATTATCTTTTCGCTTATTAATTCAAAAATCGATCAGTTTCGAAATTGAGAGAAATTCTCAAATTTATGTAAATTAAAAGATTTAATGCATCGGTACTCGTTTCAATGAGAAAATACAATCCCGATGAAGAGATCGTGTGTCGGGATAAAATTTATTGCATTCAATTTGTTAAATCAAGTTGCAGAACACGGTCAAGCGGTCCGAAATTCTCGATAGTTCGAGTGCTAACCTGATAGACTTTCTCTGTGCAGAGAAGCGGAAGTTCGCCAAGTTAACTGATTCTTCTCGTTGTTTTTATTCACGTTAAATTTCCATGAAAGTTTCCCGATACCTGAACGCGTGTGTTTACAAACGTGTACGGGGCAGCAACAAGGCGGCTGTAGTTGTAAGCGACACGGAGAAAATTCAAAACACTAATGCATTTCTTCGGTCCGATAAAGTAAACCGAAAATGGGCGGGTTTAATTCCATCCGGGTTAACTAACCGCGTAACTTTGTGAATAAATTCGAGTCGCACGCGCGAATTACGGATAATATTTTTATATGGAAGAAAAGTGTCACCTGTCGCGCGAGATCGCTCTCCAAGTAGCGCCCCGGGCATCGGCGCGTTTAATGTGCCTATTAAACGAACCATCAGCCACGGTAGGTTCATACGCCAGCGTGGATTTCCCGGTCTGGAGGCCTCGACAGCTTGCGGGTTAAGTGGTTGTAATACATTCAGCCGGAATGTGGTCCAACTTTCCACATACACATCGGTCGGCGGTAGGAAACGTCGGGGTGGTTACGAGACGCGGGGGGGGGGTTGGTTCAGTTCGCCGCTCTTTCGCTTTCCACGGTTCTATATAAACCGTCCTGGTGGTGAATGTGTTTGCGTACGCGGGGACCGCGGAGTACTCGCGTGGAAGAAGAACGTTGGAAAGGACGAGGAGAGTTGATCTTGACGTTAACTATAGGTCTCTCCCAGTCCAGACGTTCCGCGAGGGGGTGAAGAGAGGTGGAAGGAGAGGGTAGGGGGAGGAAAGAGAGTCGCGGACTCTGCGGGCGGAAAGAGAGAGAGAGAGAGTGAGAGAAAGAGACGCGAGAGAAAAGAAGACACCCCGCCAGCGTAGCCCAGCGCCAAGCCAGACTGGACGGCGCTGAGCTCGTCGCCCTCGTAGTAAACAAAGCTGTAACTCTCCTCTCGCACTGAGGAATCAATGCTTCGTACCACGCTCTTGGGGGAACAAACTCCTAGAGCAAACCCCTCTCTTGCGCTCGCACATCCATCTTAGTTTCGGTGTGGCTTGCATGTTGATGCATTGGAAAGCAAGCCGTGAGAGTCGGAAAGATGGTCACTCGAACTTGCTTTTCCGAGTAGCTCTTCGTGTCTCCCGCGTGTTAGACCCGGACCTAATGGCACGTCTCTCGATTCTACGTCGAATGGATCGTCTCTGGTGGCGCGTGTGACAAAGCGGGCGACCCTGGTGTAAGACGGTGAAATTTATCGCATTGTTTCTCCCTGATTGGACGCCCTGTTTCGGTGCCGTCGAGAATAATATTTTTAACAGTGTTTCGTCGTATTCTTTATCTTGGCGATGACGTACGTTGCAATATTTTTTCTCCTCTCCTTTGCGACGTATTTATCGAATATAATAGAAACCTCAGGAAGAAGCAGATTCGAGTTAATGCTGTTACTAGTGGCAATAGGAGGAAATAATGCGACATTTCTTCGATTATCGATACACTAGTACGAAGGATCAAACGAATCGAGTTAAGGATGCTTACCATACCGTAAAAAGCATAAGTGCCCAACGTTATGCAACTCATTTCCTGGTATTTGGAGCTTTTCCAAGAATTTTCGAAAGAACTTTATCACTACAAAGTTGAGAAAACTCTTCTAGAAGTATGAGAAGTGCTTAACACTTTTTGTCCTTCTATATTTAACGGCGATAAAATGGACGTATTTTCTCAAAGCAAAATTTCGCACAAATTAGTTTATGATCGATGATTTTCTTAGAATAGCACATAATTTGCGTACAACGGAAAGGTTCTTGTTGTATTTTTAGAGCTGCTATTTATGAAACAAATTCAATTTACATAACAGAAAATAATTAAACATTTCAACGTCACTTTAACTATAAATATATCCGAACTGCAATATTAAAGTCCTTAATCAAACTTTTGTAATTAACATGTGCTTGAAAGTAAAGACTTTATTTTCATGGAAAAGATAAGTAATTAGCCGTAGCATAAAAGCGTAACAATTAATGAAATTTTGTAAACTCCTAAAGTTTTTATCTCATTATTTACCTAATAAAAAGATTACATTTTAATATAATAAAAAAACAAAATTAAAAATATCTTTCAAGAAATTTGTTGCGGATTACGTACACGTGGTGAGTCTCGTTGTAAAATTCTTACGTTTAGAAAAGTCAATGATGAAAGTGTCAAGTACGATTTTCGGTATCTGTGCAATTCCATCGACGCCGGGGATCCCCGTCGAGATTCGTATATCTTTGCGGAGATAACCGCCGACAGTCGCCGGCAACAGCGACTGAATAAATGGGGGACGAAAATTCGGTTACGCTCGGAAGACGCGAGAAACGATTACGAAACGATCTTGCTTCCGAGTCAAAGGCGAATAGTTATACTCACTCTATAGCTATGGAAGCATACATATCTATAAAGCTTTTATCGTATCAGTCAATTGAAAGAAACGATTCTATTTAAATATTTAAAGCTTTATTATCGAGAATGCGTATCTTCCCTTTCTCACACAAATGATCATAAATAATTATATGAGAATAATAATTGTGTATCACTCATTATATCATATTTTCAATATTTTTTAATAACTTACGGTGGCACTGCTTTTTCATGAATCGTTCCTCTTTTCGTCGCGTACACGTCTGGCAAGCTCCTTGTGAACATCGCAGGTTAGCGTCGCGACGCCGAGAGTTATCACGATGGCGCAATATAGCCTGTCCGTGCAACAGTGCATTTGCACATTGTGAAAAGGAAACGGCTATGTTGAAGTAAGTGCAACGCTCTTCGTACTCGAGCGTACCGCGAAAGAACTCACTGCCCTTCTTATTTCTCCAGGGACTTTTCGCAGCGAGCGAATGAGAGATCAGAATTTCTCTTTATTCCTCTCCTCTCCTCTCCTCTCTTCCCCTTCCGCAATCCTCGTTTTCCTTTGTTACCTTTCTTCGGTCTTCACTTTCTTCGACGTGAATGGGAAAATCGGCTAAATATCTCAGAGCACTTCCGGATCCGTTGTCACGATACTTTCTACTTATCTTCGCCTTTCGTCTCTTATTTTGTTTCTCTTCTCCGTGGAAAAACTACATACTTCCACGACAGCGTTTAACAATCGACGTCATTCAGTGGGCTATGCAAAGTGCTTCCTTGGTAGGAAAAAGCAGCCGTCCGGATTCTCAATGAACGGTCATTTGATGGAAGAAACGGTCGGATCGGGCTCTCCGCGGGGACCAGTTTTTATTCGTCTGCATGGCGCTGGTCGTCGCGTGTGCTCTCGCGCGGATGGAAAACTTGAACCATCGTATAAAACATCGAGCGCACATCACAACACGTATGCATATATCGCGCGCCAGTACGTATGCCATCGAGGATATCCGTAAGGAATGCCCTCGAAGTCCCGCAGCGATTTATCCCACTGGTGGATATCTATAACCATAGTAGGTTTGTAGATCACTCCGTGCTTGAAAGCACCATTGATCATCCGTCTCGTTCGTGCATCTCATTCCTCTGTCTCGTTGTTCTTTTCCTTTCTTCATATTCTTGCTATATATCTTTATTCTCTATACGTCCCTCGAATCCCGCTTGACAGTGCAACTAAAGAATATGCATCTATTCGTCCTTTGTCCTCTCGATTCTCCAAGTTTTTGGAAAATCCTTATTTAAAAGTATAAAATAGGCCAAATTTATTAACAGAAAAATAAAACATATCGCGTATGCATAATTTATTGATAAAGATATCATGGATTATCGTTCCTAATAATCGGGACTCAACTATACGAACCGAGCTTACGATGTAATATGATATTCGTCTCGTTTCAGGTGGCCTGGATGCTTTTCGACAAGAGCGCTATTCTGACGGTACAGAATCACGTTATTACCAGGAACCCCAGAATATCCGTGTCGCACGATAAGCACAGGACCTGGTTCCTACATATCAACGATGTGCACGAGGAGGACAAGGGAAAGTACATGTGCCAGATTAACACTGCCGCCGCCAAAACGCAATATGGCTATCTACACGTTGTAGGTAAGGCAATAGTTATGCAATATATTGGTTTTTGCACAACGCCAAAATTGCTCAATTTTATTTAATATTTTTATAGTGTTATTTTCACTATAAAATAGAGCTCTTAATACGAGATAAGCTATTCAACATGATAGCCAATTTTCTCTCAGAATAATACACTCTCTAATATTGTTCTTACATAATTATCAATTTATTTAGAAAATATTTATAAAACATTTTGCAGAATATATAGCGCTTTCGTTATAGCGTTAATGATAAAAGAAGCGATTTTTCTCGTTTCTGAATTTAGAAATATCAAGACAATATTAATGAAATGAGAACAGAAAAAAAGAAAAAGAAAAGATAAAGAAGCATATATATCTACGTACATATATATTTTATTTAAAAAATTTATATTCTTTATTCTCATATTTTAAATCTGCTAAGAATATCTTAAAAAAGAAAAACTATCAATAACATTTTCAGATATGTAATTATTATGTAATTTATCCTTCATTAATGCCAAATTTTTAATTATATTTGTATTTTATTAGAAAATAGATTTCTCACGAGAAATATTTAATTTTGCAAGTAAATAATAAAGATTCATACTTTTTTAATATTATTAGCAAATAACATTTTATTCCGTGCATGTCTTACTTCTACATTTTATCGTTTACGAGAGAAAAAAAAACTATTCGCATTCTGCACACACGTTAATTCTGCAGTACCATTAGCGGAGAACATGCCTCGATCGATTGCTATTTACGGCCTTATCGTATCGTACTATGAACCCATTAGATCCTCCGAATAAATCTCATTTCACGTAATGGAATCAGCTTGCCGTCGCGGAGTTTATATGAAACGGAGCATAAGCATTTTATTGCCGGCGTCCAAACAGATTTCTGCTTAGAAAGCGAAAGTATTTTTTCCCCTCCCCGCCCCTCTGTCATCCGCTAATTTTACATAGAAGCAACAGACCTATAATAATTTAATCAGAAGAGAATATCAATAAGACCTGAGGCGGTCGCCGTCTCTCTGCCAGCTGAGAGAACATATTAATATCTCGAGTTTTGACGTCTCGGCTGCAGCCAGCCGTTAAAGCGAGAGAAACGATACCGGGGGATGAGATGGTAGATGCGCCGGTGGAGTAATCAGAGGGTTAGATTAATTGTTTCCACGGGACTCTTGCCCTCCGTCGCACAAACACACGCAAGATTTCCTCGCGGTATACTCTCTCCCGCTCTCACTCCCACTCACTCGACACTTCGTGATAATGCCGATGGAGCCGACACAATGGCGATCTGCCATGACTACATCGCGCGTAACAAGCTTCACCGATGCATTTAGGTATTATCTGTCTCCACATTTGCCAGTCGAGATAATCGCATGATTCATTTTGCGAATAGTTAACCGATTAAGCGAATCTTTTTCGAAAGAAGAGAGAGATACGGCTTATTGACTCTATCGGGAATTTTATTTCAGATATGATGAATGATAAACGCGCTTGCTTCATTCAAAGTCACATTTCTATTTAAAAAAAAGGGTTAAAATATTCTTTACAAAGTTAATTTTTGTTTTTATAAATCAATTTTTTTCATCTATTTAGTATTTTATTTATATATTTTCGCTGGAACGTTACGACAAAAATGTCATATTGTTAAAATATCGGTGCCCTCTGCCACAAGGCGAGCGGTAGTATCGTTAACTTCGTGACCAGGTGAATGTACTGGATATCATACACCTCTTGTTGTTATCTTTATTTAGTTATTGAACCTGCTTTTCGGTCTCTCGATGTGCCGCGCGCACGACGATCGACCGTCACCCCCATAAATAAAGCAGAAGTCTGAGCTATCTGACTTTTATTTGATTTAAAGACGAGTTGGCCAGTTTAAACGATAAAGAATCCGCGACGAAACTGGGATACAGACATGCAATGTTTTACTGCGCTTACAACTATTGCTGAAAACATTTCCATACTTAAATATCCATCGTATTATATCTACCGAGCGGTGAAAATAAATTGTTACAATTTATTTTTTCTCGAAAATCACTATAATACCAATACTGAATAACAGCACAAAATCCTTTTTTGATATTTTAAGAGCCTTTTATGAAACAAACAAGCAGTGTTGTTGGATCATCCTTTTTATTTTTTTTATATTTTTGGAAATAAAATAATATATAACTTTTGTCTTGTTTTCATATATTTTTTTTTTTTAACTGATAACTTTTATCTAAAACATTTTTTTACATTTGATGGTAGTTAAAGCAAGCATAATGACAATATTGGATTATTTTTCACAAGACAATACGCGATTACTTTTTTACAAGAAAAAAAAATCATTTGTTGATTGCAAATGGATCCTGCGCGTGAATTTATATACGATGTATTCTTCTCGAAGGAAGCGTCTTTGTTATTAGCATAAGCGTATCTGTCAAGAGGCATCTCATATTCTGTATTATAGGATATGATATAAGCTTGACGTTAGATTCCCTAAGGATACGCTGTAATTAGCAATCCACAGTTTACAACGACTTCGTTCATGACGGAATTCAATAATTATCTCGGTGTATGTTCCCTCTTTTGAATTAATTGTGACGTCCTGCCGAAACCAAACAAGCTTAGAATCACTATAATGACACAACATTCTGTTTATACATGTTTATACTGTTTGTACAGTTTTCTCTTTCGCAAAAAGAAACTATTTTACAATCCCTGGATTCCCATATTTATCTTTAAAATTGTTGTCGCTCCTAATTTGACACATTAAAAATATTGCAAAAATAGCCTATCACCGATTAGATCCATCACTTTTGTGAAAACAATAAAAAGTCCAAGTGTTTTTTCTATTTTATCGGAAAAAAGCGAAAATTTTCTCTTTTATCGGAAAAACTTGAAAGAAACTGCGGCAACCTCGATATGGCGAATAAATGGCAGTCCTGTTTAGAATTGTCAATATTTGGATATTTAGATGTACGCGATGCACACGTAACACTTTTGTGTACGTGAAAATAAAAATATCGGGAGATGGCTGCCGCGCGTTTATCCCCCAAGACTCCGCTTCGACCGGTGAGCATCGTTGAGCGATCTCTTCCCCGACGTCTCTCGAACGTTGTGCTGCCGGAGTTTAGGACAAGTTAACGCACAACAGCGCGGCAACACGCGCGCGGCAGAGGCGGCGTTTGCGCTTGAATAATGCATCAACAGACCGTTACGCGGCTGCAGTATAACGGCGTGCAGAACGGCGGGTAGGTAGGTGAGGGCAAACCCGTCCCCCGCGCGCGCGTTCAATCTGCCCTTGTTCAACAATTCGGTAACACCCCGCATTAGCATTAATGCAGGATATCGGCGGACACCTGCGGTAATTCATAGGATTGGCTGCGTTCCCTTGTAACGCGGTGATCGCGCGGCTGTTGACGGACAAAAAGGCGGATTTTCTTCTAGTTACTCTTGATGTAAGATCAGGCGGAGTAATTTGAATCGTGGTATATCCAAATGATTTTTACAATTAACAATCGCCGCGTAATTGCACACAAAGTATGCAACGGTGAATTCCGTTGGGGAGAGAAATTATATATTCGACGCGTTAAAAATTATGTTGTTCTATTTCACCATCTCTGCTGTTGTAATAATAATGCAAATTATATTGGACGGAATAATTTTATTTTTATACACAGAGGAACGCGCGAAAAACACAATATCGCAAAAAATCACGTATGTAGTTATGTGAATATCTTGAAAATTGCAATATTTCTACTCGAGTTAATTTTCATTACCGAGCATAGGTTGAAGCAAAGCCACCATTCAATTACGCTACCTTCATTTACAAAATTGCACAATTTATATAATATATAAGATATCTCTTTTTATATCATACATTCAGAAATTGTCCGTCGTGATAACTTTTAATTTCTTTTAGAATACTTTATAAATTGCTTGAATTGATTAGAATCTGAATAACTGAAGAACCTAATTGAACTTAAAAATAGGTAATAATCTGCTGTTTTAAACATTTGACCATTAGAGGTTGCGAGACGTGAATAATTTGGAGAAATTAAATCTTTCACCGAGGTTTTGTACGTGAATATATAAAATGAATTCCTTTTCATGTCAAATTTATTAAACGCTCAAAATGGATATTATTATTTTAATATCCGTTAGCAATGAATATTAATAGTATGTATATGAATTTATTTTAGTTTATACTTATATTTAAAGCAGTCTTAACTTCTTTTTTATGTAGTCCCGTTCCTTCTGTTCTTATGGTTGGCACGCTTCAAGTCTCAACAAAGAAAAGTTTCCTCTGATCTCTTTTTATAAGATTTTTTAATTTCAATTCTAGGTCATTTTAGTTTCTTCGACCTTTTGTGGATCAAAGAGCGCCGAATTTGCTCCATTTATTTAAGAGGGATGTAGCACATTGTGTTAATTTGTATAATATCGCAGAAATTGCTAACAGTTTATTAAAATGAAGTGATTATCACCAATTTGCGGAAAATTAATTAAGTAAATTAAAGTTAATTAGATACTCAAGTAAGTCAATATACTGTTCCGTATGAAAATCGAAACAATGGCAAACAATGTACGTGACATTTTTGTATCACAATCTAATTACCGCAATATTCTTTGTTAGTTAATATGCTATTAATACATTGATTGTCACAAGTTAATTAATTACTAAATATTACGAAGCAGAGAAATAGTTTGTCTGGTATGTCATAGTCTCATATAAGCGATGCGATATCTGTCCATTTAAGCGTGTCAGTCAATCTGGCAACTTGCATTCCCAGGTTTGATCAGTGTCGACGTTGCAGACGACGTATGTCCATATACTAATATTATTCGTCACCGCGACAATATAATTGAATTATACGCCTCTCTCGCGCGCGCGCATACGCGCGGTTAGCCGTTTAATTCAAGAGCAGTGACGACGTGCTCAATATACACAAATGTGAAATACGCTATGATATCACTGTCACGGCACAATTAAATAAAGTTATTATGCGCTGCTCGTTATATGTGAACTATGGTTATGATTCATACATTTTATCTTTTTTTTAATACATTTTATATATTTTTTACACGTATTACATACACTTTACACAACAAATTTTTACAAAACTTTTAAAAATTTTTATGTCCGTTATTTTACGAAGAAACGTATTTTGGTATTTTGAGAAATTTACTGAACAAATATGCTGTCTATATTTTGTCTGTATCGCGTGTATCGACTCTGTGACATATCTGTACGTATCGATTTTTCTCTTTCAACAACGTAATACTATTTGTTGTAATAAATATTTAGTAAACCATAAAGTTATGACATTTAAGAATGATTAACGAAATATTGACAGTTTGTCAAAACAAAATCCCGCCGGATTCACGAGTGTAATTACAGGCTCTTTTGCAAATGCAAATTATTTTATGAAGTAATTCACGATAAAAATTTTCAATTCGATTCTGATTGAACTGCTCTCCCCTCGCAGAAGAGCCGCATCGGCGTGATTTTTAATCGGTTATTACGTTAACGTGGGATTCCGTTTCATCTCGATGTTAAGCCGGTTTAGTAATTGCCGAAGGAGAGCGGCGCGGCGCGGCGCGGAGAGAATGAACGGAAGAATCTGTCAAGGGTATGCAAAATAGCGTGGAACTCTTGAGATCCCACACAGCGGAAGCATAGTCTGCTCTTTTCTTTCCGTTCTCGTGCTGCGGCGGGACAAGACTTTCTCAGTTTCGTCCGCAGTCCTCCGGAGCATTTCTCTTACAGTGGAGAGAGCGTTTCTTATCATTAGTGATTACGAGTTTTTCACAGGGGTTTCCTTCCACCGCGTCTTATCTACACACCATTTTTGTGCCCTGTTCATGTCCGGTATTCGACTCTGTCAGATTAATCAATGGAGATCTTTTTACAGCCGCAGAATTGAGTTCTTCTACATATGTCAACATTTGTCTGCATATATTAATGACTTGTGTGTTTGTACGTTCGTGGAATCGTTAATTGTATTAATTTTATTAATTCCAGATAATTGGAGAAATAAAAATAACAGAATTAAATACAATATTCATAATGGATTGATATTGAAAAGACTTGAAACAATAAAACGATAAAAATTCAAACAATGCGCTATTTGAAATAATTTGTTGAAAAAAATTAATTTCATGTTGCTAACCAATCATATTTTTATTGTTACAGTGCCACCGAACATTGACGATTCGCAAAGTTCGTCAGACGCGATTGTTCGCGAGGGCGCCAACGTGAGTCTCACCTGCAAAGCGACCGGAAGTCCAACGCCTAACATTCGTTGGAAAAGAGATGACGGTTCGAAGATCTCGATCAACAAAACTTTGTCCGGTACGTATGACAGAATTTAACAATGAAAATTTATATAGACAAAGGATATTTGATCATTTTTAAATATAAAAATAAAACTCAATTAAATGGAAAAAGAGAAATCAGAGAAAATGAGAAATAATTAATTTTAATCGATTGACCTATAATTTTAACAAGACAATTGTGATTTCAGTGGCAGAATGGGAAGGCGAGACATTAGAGATGTCGCGGATCTCGAGATTAGACATGGGTGCATATTTATGCATCGCCAGCAATGGCATACCACCGACAGTCAGCAAGCAGATTAAAGTATCGGTCGATTGTAAGTACATTTTATGTTCAACTTTGATCGAATAATTTACCGACGATCGACATGCAATTTTTTCACAATTGGCGAGAAAATATTATGATGCTATGAAAGTAGGTAAGAAGCTCTTTCCAAATTTATGGTGAGATTTTTTTATTAATAGTTTTGTTTTCGCGTCTAAAATTTGTTACACCGAAATAAACAAACATCGATTGAAAGTGGAACTTGCAATGGAGAGATTTATCGTACGCCTCGATGCGTCATAGTCGCAGCGTTACATTTATTCAAACGTTATTTTGTATTGACAAAAAACCCTCCTGAAAAAAATCGCATAACCGGATTTCGGCAAACCAGATTTCTCGCGGGAGTAAAGATACCTGCCGACAAATAAGGTATATAGGTCGCTACATCTGTAAGGTAGCCTCTAAGTGGCGTCGCACTATGCTCAGTACTATGCACTCCGCTCGGAAAGAGGTTCAACAACATACAATTTAATAACATAGAAAGGAAACCGGCGACAAAGCGGGCTTTACCGAGTCTCTCACCTCTCTCTTGCCTCTAGGCTGGCTCCCGCTGCGCTAAAATAAGCGTGAATTAGAGCGAGTGGCGAGGGAGAGGCGGGAAGGGGACAGAGATAGAAACAGAGTGAAAGACGACGACGAGGAGAGGGAGAGATGGCGGAAGGGGCGTTGAAAGTCACGATCATGTGTGAGTGAGCGCGTGAAGGGGATGTAGAGGGCGAAGGACGAGAGAGAGAGAAAGAGAGAGGGATAGAGAGAAACGGCGGTTCCCCGGTGAGACATAAAAGTAAGCTCGGGCGAACCGCGACACACCATTACCGTTTCCACCCCTGTACTTGCCTATTGTTACGTTACTGCTCCACCTAAATACCGAGGGCACGTGCCTCTCTTCTCCTCGTAGCTCTTCTATGACGTGCTCCCTCACTGCGACACACGTTTTGCTTCTCATTTCCGCATCCGGTAGGGCGCACTTGCTGGTGCATATCGAATGGGATCGCCCTTTGCGCGTTGTTGTTCTTTGCCTCGCGTCGCGTAACTGTAAAGAATTTTACGGATTTTGAGTCGGCAGAGACACGAAACACACACGGAGCTTCGACTATTTTTAACTGGATCGTTAAAAATATGTATGAGTGAGAAACGGGCATCGCGATATCCAATGAAGGAGGGACGATCTTCGTGCCGTATTGCGCTACCTTTGAAAGCGCCGTGATATTTAATTATTAATTATCCGTAAAGTAAAATTGCATCCGCCTTTTAAGTCGACTACAAAGAGATAGTGTAGAGCGAGGGAAGCGGAAGTTTGTCGGAGCTTATGCAAAACATAATCTTCGTATTCTTAAGACGGCTCCTTCGAGTTTCTATGTTAAGATCCAAACCAATTCGAAAGCTGCACGCGAGAGATCCTGCGAAAACAGGATGAGAAAACAAAATGACGATTTCTCTATATAGTTTAAACCGAAACTAATTAATTTAGCCGCACTAGAAATATACGTCGTAATTATGATTCTCGGATGAAACGTTATTCGAAAGAGACGAATATATTTGCCGACGCTGCTCGACGCGGATATGCCGCGGATTATTCTTTTACGTGGCCTTTAATTCTATTTGCGACCGCAAAAGCCTTTTGTCAACGAGTATTACCTCGGACTCTTTTGAAGTCTAATTACGATCGAGTAATGCAATTGTTTTGTCCGCGATATGTCTAACTATCGCCGACAACGAGAAGTTGCGTGAGAAATTGACAGTGCCATTGTTACGGCGCACTGCATTTCGCAGCGAATGTTTACTTCTAGATGCGTTGCACTTTGGCAAAAAAGTTCGAGGTAACAACCGAGAATTAATTTGTATAAACGAAATACTGAAAGCGATGCAATTACACGTTTTATCTTTTTTTTTTTGTACGCATAAGTGTTTATTATTATTTTGAAACATTCACTGCTGTATTTCGTGGAGTCCTATTTTACCAGCGAATTATTTTTGAGATAATTTTCATAATTCTGCATGAAAACTCTTATCTCTATCTTTAATTTTTAATTAAACTCCCCGCAGATTACTGTATCGCAGCGCATATATTCACCGATTTATATAAACGCAGAATGTTAATAATAAAATAGGGGTAATACCACTTTCCCCTTTATCGAAACGAATATTTCTCTAACAAAATGAATACAGTGATCAATCTGTATCATCAGGGTAATTATTCTGTTTAATTACTAAGTCTATACCGTGCAATGTATTGTGTATTAGGATAATTAATTTCTCATTACACACATACATTTAAACAGATTTGTTTCGACGATTGTTGTTAAAGATTAATGGTTAGCATTCGCAAAATCTCCAAATACACTATAAACATCACGTGGCGTTTGTCGTTCGATATAATATATAGTTTCCATCGCGATTGACCGATATATATTTTTGTCCAATATCCCATTTCGATTCGCATTCATTTAGAAGAAACACTTTTCGTATTGGCTCTCTCATTGACCCGTGGCCATTTCATATTATAACTTGTTTGCATATCGCTGCGGAATATTCCCTGGTCAATAACATCGACATAAATGTTAGCGGTAACCAGAAATCGGTCGTATCTGCTAGGTGAATATTTTGCCAAGTATATTTTGACGATTCACTCGCAATATAAAGCTTTTTTAAATAGCCGCAGGACTAGATTCGCTACCGATGTACAGAGAACGCTGTAAGAAGTATAAACTTCGATATAACTATTTTAGTACAAGAGTAAAAGAATTTCATACTCCAAGTACACTTTTCCACCAAATTGAAAGACAACTTGAAATCGTTGACAAAGATGACGAAATACATATTCGTCTAACTTTTTTAGAAATGGCCGTACAACGATTTTCAGACGAGCATTCAAAAGGTTAAAGACGCAGCTTTCATACGTCGTTGGGAAAAACCTTTGCGGAGTTTAAAAGTTAAGTTTTCAAGCTTTAAAATGCTTTTTTGGAAATTGTTTTACGAGTATTTCTGGCGAAATTTTATAAATTTGAAATTTGTTATTTTCATCGACGATTCTGACAATAAGTAATCTTTTAATTTTGTTGAGATATGTATTACAGTTTGTGCTTAGCTAGCGAAGAATTCATAATTGTTAAATAATGCTTTGACATATTAAATGACTATGATGACACATCCTCAGAAAAAAAACGCGCAGGTTGCAACTGAAAGATCAGCGTAACACTTGGCGCGTTTTTACGCGTTCAAGCGGAGATTAATTAAATGGTCAGACAGATTACAACCATCCTACCTTGGGCGACCCTCGGCCTGATGACATTACAAGTTTACGGCCTGAAAAACTGTTGTATACTCTTCTCACCTCCCGATCTCGCATCCTGTCTGCTGTCGCCGCTGTTTCAGCTCTCGTAACTTGGCGCGTCGACAACGTGACGTACGTGGCGATATTGTAGCGCGATAATTATACATGTATCGTCAAACATACTGTCGTCATGCCTGCAAACGTCTCGTAAAATATTTTCATCCTCGAACGCGTAGCACCAATGCGATTGCAGCGTCGCATTTATGACGACGCATTTGTTTATCGGCAAATGTAATTTCAGTAAATACAATTGGACTCCCTTGCTGCAGCCATTAATACAGTTGACAAAAAGCAAACACTGTATCGTTGGTACAATTATTAATATTCAGCAAGTGTTGATATATGTTTATATTTAGATATTTTATTACACGCATTATAATTCTAAAATCACAAAATTATGACACATATGTTCGATAAACATTGTTGATATTTTAATTTTTATGCTCGGCAATATCTGCAATTTAGACATTTTGGTTTTTAATCTTGACTTTATTATTCTTTGCTAAAGGAATATTTATATACATATTTACATATATGTATATATAAATATTTATCATATAAACATTTCTACTTAACTTCTTTCCGGTACAACTTTGGTATTAATTAATCTCATGATAATTACGCGGGGCTTATTTTTACGTGCGCTTTAATTTTCAAGAATGTGAAACACTGTGCGTGTTTCGTCAAAGAATATCACTTCTAGCAAAATAACATCCCGTTGAAGAATATAATTTTCGACTCTCATTAGTTAGCACGAATTTAGGATGATAACGTCGCCGTTTCCGACTCGGACAAACGGACTTGTTGATGAAGGGGAGAAAGCCGAAATTACGCGTAGCGCGTTCTGCATAAATTTCCATTAAGAAACGCGAATGTGTAAACTAGAATTTTTGAGCAAAGTTCTAGAAACGTTCAGCCTCACAACTTTCACTAAAATTCGGTAACAACGTAGCCAAATAAGCCTAATTGAGCGTACGCGGAAGAATTATTAGACATGCGCGTAAGCTAAAGCGATATTAAAAAAAATTTAATTTGCAGTTTTATTTGCCTGTTTTTATTTGACATACTTTATTTTTTCAATTCAATAACATATTAGAGATACACGAGTGCAATTGTGCAAATATTCAGTTTTATTCGTGCGGAGCGCAACTTTTTTAATATATGATGCATACCTTTTAAGGACGAATCCAGCATTGGAGAACAATAAAAACAGGTTTACATTAATATATTAACATGCGATCTATTTCGCATTGTTTCCGAGTTGTTACAAACGCGTTTATATACAATTTATTACATATAATTGACTTTACATAAATACCTCTTTATTTATACACATACTTTACAAAGCGACGGTCGTTTGTCATTATATGTTTGATTTGCGATTTACCGGCGTGATAAACGGCTTGATTTATGTACCTACTAAACAACGCGGTGAACCATTCATACGCGAGTGTACTTAGAAATTGGTAGCGATTCGTCACAGGTCGTGCTAATTTTATTTATCGGCTTTAACGTCGCCAAAGATGCTTCCCGGACGGGCGGAACCGGACGAAATGAGGCTGCAGGTCACGGAAAGAATCGTTTTAATTTATTCGAACGTGTCCGTCGTTCGTGTAGGCGGGGTATAGGTATCGCATTTGGAGGGAATGTAACGGCGA